TTTTCCTGCACCCAGAAGTCTGCCTTGTTCCTGTTACCAACACAGTCAGCAACAACAGAACAGAGGCTGGATCGACTGCACAGCATAAAGCTATTCCTCAGCACCAGTGATCTCACACCAACAAAAATCATCAAAGCATCGTTTAAATACCAAGCTTCTCACACTTATCGATTACAGGCGCCACTGGACATGACTCAACGTGAAATTACAAGTTCAAGAACAAATTTAGCTTGACATCAATGAAGGAAGACCTAGCTGTTCTTTAACTGTTCATCTCTACCATTGTGCCTGGCTGTGACACACTGTCAAGACTGATGCTCATGGAGAAGGCACAAGCCAAGCAGAACAGCTAAAGCAAGGGAAGACTGGAAGTGTAAGATACCACCTGCTTTTTCCAAGGATAAGGAAGGTGCTCTAACATTAATCTCAGTTTAAGACCATGCAGAGATCTCCCTCACACAACACAATTGCTGATCCATTGCAACTCACAGTTTCATAAACAGGAGAGTGTTCAGGTGCACCTTGCATAGTCAGAGGTAAACCAAAAATGACTTGTTTTGGTGAACCTGGAGAGGCAGACGGTTAAGTGAACAATGAACAGACTGTGGCAACACCACATGCAGGTGGTTGCCCTCCCAAAGCACAGAAAATATTAAATAAAAGCTCAGAGATAATTCTCGAAGAACTCTTGGGAAATAACTGGGAACCAATCACACAACTCGGGCAAGTTCACGTACTCCACAGCTCTGTGCCTGGAGTTACCAGGAACCGCCCACCTGCAATGAATTTACGAGTTGTGCAAACCTTGTGTGTCATTATGACTCCTATTGTGCTCTCCTTGTCATGGGAGCATGACAACACCAAGTTTCAAAACACTACAGCAGAACAAAGTCTTTGCACTGAACAACGTTACTGCAAATGATGCAAAACTCTTTGTAGGCTCTGCTGAGAAGCGTGAATCAAAGGCGAGAGTGGCTTGTAACTTTGGAACAGCATTTTACACACAGTGGGTCAATGGAGCAAACCACAGAAGCATCTGCTTCTTAAAGCAATGCAAAGAGAGCCAGCTAGAAGAAAATTTTATATGAGAATCGGAGTTTCCATACCAGTTTCTGCACAGAAGCCAAACTTTCAGCTACCACCAGCCCCTCCTTTGGTACTGTAAAGAAAGATCAGGGTACTAGCAGTATCACACACTTTTACTGCCATGTTCTAACTGCAACACATATGTTTAAAGCCTCTCTTACTCTCTGACATTTCTCAAGCTTCTATGTCAGCCAAGGAAAGACACACCTCTTCCATAAGCAATTCCCAGCAATAATTGTGTTACCATACCAGAAAGTCACCAGAAGATAGAAGGCTCTCAACTGGTTTAACTCCTCCAATACTTTTCTTTGGTTAGCTGTTACAGCAGATGCAATTTGTTCAAAACCAAATAAAAGACTTTCCTCAGCACCATCCTATGAAGATGTTTGAAAACTCTTCTCCCCTGCCAATACCACGGACTCTGTGGAGCCCCTAGAGAGGCTACAAGCAGCACTGAATGGGATTAGGGACTGCTCACTGCTGGCAGAGATCATCCTTGTCCCTTCCTTGGGCCGGGCTGTTCTTACAAGGAACGTGCCAGGATGCACGGAGAACCCTTGGGACCTGCCACCGCTTTGCATTCCGCTTGCCAGAAGCACCAGCTTCCCAAATCAAAGCTAAAATCACCAGGCAGCTGCTTTGGGCACTCAGCTTCACCTGGGACTAGGTAAAGCCAGATATTCCAGTTGACTAAAGTGCTCTCAGATGACTACAAAGAGCAGCGTTCCCCACCAAGTAAGACATTACAACGGGCAGTTTTTACTACTACAATCTCAGCAGAGCTGTCCTCCTATCTCGTCACTGTCCCCACATCACTGTAAGGCTTTTCATCGCTGACTGCAGAAACACAGAACCTGCTTTGCCTGCTCTACACCATCAACAACACTACACACAAACACACAAAGCTTTCTCCAAAGCCTCACCTCCAGCAGAGATGTCAGCAACAGCCTGTTCCAATGGCACAATGAAGGGCAACCCGAGGCAAACTTGTTTCACCTTTTTGGTTCACCTGCTTGCAGCCTCTTAACAGCAACACGGTCCCTCACCCATGAAACTCTGAAAACTTTGGGGAGGAAAAAGAACCGGTAACACAATGCATCTTAATACAGGCAGGGATTTGAAGGGGAAAATAAAAATAAATAAAGAGAAAACGCTAACGGGGAGTCCCAAGGGAGTCCCTGCAGTTCTCGTTCATCACATCTGCTCGGGAGCAGCTGGACACGGGCAGGGGCATCTCCCACGGCAGACGGGGAGGGAGCAGCTCCCACCGCCCCCCACGGCGGCCCCGGAGCAGCCCCGGCCCGGCCCCGCTCCCCGAGGGCCGAGCAGGAAGTCCCGGCGCGGTCCCCGCCGCCACCTCCCCCGGGAAGTGCCGGGATGCGGAGCCGCCGCACGGTACCCGCGGGGGGCTGCGCGCTCCGGCCGGGACAGACACAGCGCAGCGAACCCCAGAACGGCCAACAAAAACCCAACACCGCTCCGCGCCAGCGCTGGAAGTTCCGCGGGGAGCCCGCAGCGGTGTCCCCGGTGCGCGGGGGCTGCAGGCGCGGGCAGCCCCGGGCACGGGCGAAGTGGCCCCGGCCCCGGCGAGCACCTGCCGGCCGCGCCGGAGGGGCCGCGCCGCACAGGGCGGGCGGGCACGGCCGGGGCCGCGCCGGCCGGACCCCCCCCTGCCAGGACCCCTTCCCCGGAGCCCACCCCGCGTCCCCCGCGACCCCAGCGAGCGGCGCTCACCTGCGGGGGCTGGGGCCGGGCCGCCCCGGCCGCGCTTCGCTCCGCGCCCGCTCCCCCCGCGCTGCGCGGCGGCCTCGGCTCCGCGGGCACCTCCGGGAGGGGCGCGGCGGGGGCGGAGCCTTCAGAAACCCCGCCCCTCGGTGGGCGGAACAGCGCTATGCAAACACTCGCTGGGGGCGGGGCCTCGCATGCAAATGAAAACGCGGCCGCGGCCCCGCCTCACTTTCATCCGGCGCGCTCATGAATAATTCAGCAGCCCCGCCCGCCGCAGCCAATCAGCGAGCGGCACCGACCCCCGCCTTGGCACCGGGAAATCCAGCCGGGAAAACCAGCCGGGAAAGCCGCGTCCAGGCCCGGCACAGCGCCCGCCTCCAGCCCCGGAGGTGCCGGCCTGCCGTGGCAAAGAAACATAAAGACTTCACGGAAAGTCAGAGCTCTCGCCGGAGAGAGGGACACAGATGCTGCTCTTGCCCTGCAGCAGCCAGCCCGTGTCCTGCAGCAGGGAACAACTGCTGAGCGAGGAATCTGCACCCATGCAGAGTGCAACGGCAGCCCAAGGTCTGCCGACCTCTCTGCATCCATGTAAAAGCTTGAAAGTACCTCTGACAAAGGGCCAGGAACAGTCAGTGTTTCACCCACGCTTCCAAAAGTGATGTTTTTTCAATTAGAGTATTTCTTTCTGTCTTCTTGCAACACCCAGCTGATGTGCATCGCAGGTCAAGGTGGAGCAGTGGTATCAGTCTGCATCGTGCTCCCATCCTGGTAAAGGCACTGTCAGATGTTGTGGTGCTGAGCAAGGCAGCCACAGTTTCTCAATCCTCCCTGCAGTGGTTATTAAACTGTAATTGTCTTTTGCTGAATCAGGGAGTCTCTGCCCCAGCGAAACTCACTGGGTGGCTCTCGTAGAGTTCATCGATACAATTCCACCTTGGCATAAGGAGGTGAGACTGATTGAAATCAACAGGAGTGAGTTTGACCTAATTCCAGGACAAACATGAGCCCTGTGGGTCAGGCTGGAGCTCTCCCGGCTGCACCCGTTCTTAGAAACTCCCTTCCCACTGCCTTTAATCTGTAAAACAGTCTGGGAGAGTGCTGAGGGCAGGTGAAGCTGCCAACGCCGGCTTTGAAGAGGACTGTCGGAGCCAAAGCAGGACCGGGAGGAGGAAAAGGAAGGGGAGGGAGTGTGGGAGGAGCTGTCAGACCCTCACCTCAGCAGAGCCTCGCCGACTCGCAGCATCTGATAAGCGGGGTGTGTGTGTGTGTGTGAAACCGGACCAGGCACAGCCTGGCAGCAGAGCTCTGCCACCCTGGGCTACGATACCTCTGACCACGCAGGAGGAAGAGTGGTGTGCCGACAGGAACTGCACGCGGATGTAAGGACACCTCCAGGCTCTGAGTCACACTGCTCTCCCCGGGGAACAGGGCAGCAGCTGGATCCAGACAGGCAGGGTTGTGTGACCTTGAGCAGGCACTCACCAGCTGCTGCTACTGGGCTCCCAGTAGCCTCCACACAGTCTCCCTGTGCATAACTTAACATTTCTAGGGGAATTAAGGACCACAATGAGGAGCTTGCATTGTTGGAAAAAGATTTTTTTTATTGCTCAGCCTTCTCCACATCTCCAAAAAGAATTAAAAAAATAGCAAACAAAACACATGTAAACCAGTTGCTATTACAGTTCTGAAAATCTTGGTACGAAAACACAGCCATGCTCAGCTCACTTCCATCCACTGAGCAGATCTCCTGGCGCCTGGCACTTCTTGCATAGAGGCAAAAGCAAATTTGGTACCAGGATATCCTGGTGGAGAGCAATGATACCCTCAGTTTGGAGGACAACAGCCACAGGACTGGAAGGCTCATTAGGAATTTGTAGCTTTTTTCTTTACTGAGGGATCTCTCACTTGCAAGAGAAACAACAAGGATGCACAGCCAGAAAAGAGGATGTTGGGCTGAAGCAGAGGGGCTGCAGTTCAGCCCTGGTGAGACTATCAGAGACAGTGCTGGTCAAACTTTGACATGGCTTAGCACAGCTGCTGCAGCACAAGGCTGAGGTGTCATCTGCAATGCTCTGGGGCTTTCAGTGACCTCTGCCTGATGAAATTATGTTCAAGGCACACTTTCCTGCTCTCGAGTGTCTGGAAACTTTACTCCAGGTGACTGAGTTTATGGCTGTGCCTTTTTCAGATCAGAATCTGATCTGACGGCCGTTGGCACAGCTGAATGACAGAGGCTCAGGACACCACCACTGATCAGCTTATTCTGTCCCCAGCTGACCTCAGTGACACTCCAACCATTCAAGTAGTGTAGCCCAGTGCTTCTTAACATGTGACAAGGATCACCAGCAAGGTGTTTTCTAACGGTCCGCAGCTCAGCGAAAGATGATACAAAAAGGGAGACTGGTGATCCACAAGGTGAGAAAGCTGGAGAACCAGTGGCTTCAAGAACAAAGCAGTGTTTTCTCCAGTCCAGAAATGCCCAGCTAAGCCATACACACTTGCTTGCTGTAAATCATGCTATTATGCCTGAGCCATCTGGGTGGGTGAAGTCTGTAACAGCCATAATGTGGTCAACTACCCAAGGTTCCAGGTTCTATTTTCTGTAATATTTGATCCATCAGGACAACAAATCCTGAGTAGAGCTCTTCCCTTCATCCCATACCATTTCTACAAGTGACAGCAGCTTCAGTGACTAACATCAATAGGCAACTTGAATTCCTTCAGTGAATAGAAGGTGATTTCTCCGTGATCCACCAGCGCAAAGACCAGCGGGACGTCCCCGCTCAGGTACGTAACCTGCTTCAGAGCCCGCAGGGACGGGATCTGCTCATCAAAGCTGCAGGGAGAAAAAAAACATCCTGTTTGTTCTCAAAGCAAGAGGAACACAGAGGCAAAGCTGTCCTGGCCAGCCATCACAGCAGCTCCCTTTGGCCTGAGGAGCTGGTAGTGATCCTCCACAACCCTTCCAGTCAAAGCAGGAGGCTGCCAGCCCTGAGAGTGAATACACAGCATGCCGGGAACTGGGAGCTGTTGAATCCTTTGCCAAAAAAACAAGGGCAGTTGCACCCTGCTCCCCACTGTGCCTATCAGATGCGGCTCACGGGGATATTGGCACGTTGCCAGCCCAGTGCCATCTCAATACCTCTGTGCAGGGAAGATCTTTAGGTTGCTGCAATCAACATCTGACCTGCTTTTCCCTCCTTTTAATTCTGTAGAGTCTCTTTGCTCATCAATGAAAGTAATTTATGCAACAAGGATCATCCTACTGCTCAGGATATACCTTCGTAAGACTGCATTACCAACTCCCTTGCTCTGTCTACTACAGCTGCAGAGAGCAGAGGGACAGTTTTAGTGTAGCAAACTGAGTAAAGGCAGAAACTGAACTTTGTACCTGGCTGTGGAGTTTAAGTATCAGGTTCTGGATCCAGCAAGAAACAGGACACCTACCCTCTGTTCATACTGATCTTAAAGTTACACTTAACAAAGATCAAAATACTGAAGCCATGGCCCAGAGCCTGTAGCAAGCTCTAGGGAGGTTCAACTCTGCAGAAATCCATAGGGATCTGCACTGACTGACTGAGGATTCAGGGACCATACAGCTCTACCTGACTTTCACAAGCATTGCATAAAAACAGCTGCGGCTTCTTATTCCTGACTCCCAGTAATACTCAGACATGAGCAGCAACCAGATGATCCAACAGTGTGAGCTGAGCGCAAGGGCTGGGGGAACTGTCAGCCACAGCCTCCAACAAAGGAGCAACTGAATGAAAAAAAAACATTCTAGGCAGGAACACTCTCCAGGGAGGCACTCTGATGATCTGCAAAGCTCACAAGATGCTGGCTCATTTACAGATCATTAGGACTTCATTTCCACAACAGCAACTGCAATGTGGCAGAAAACAGCCTGAGACTCCTGGGTACCTCCGAACACACATCCTGACATAAGGCTTCCCAGGGTTTGTCTTCTTGAACCTGGACACAGCGTCTGCTTGATAGACATTGAAGTCTATCTTCATGGCCTCTGGGTCCTCCTGCAGCCTGCAGAAGAGAACACACCCACATGAGCATGGGATAGAAACACTGTAGGGTACATGTACAGCAGAGCAAAGGGGCAGCAGGAACTCCTGAGGCCAGACTATTCTGGACCTTTTGAAAGGCTTCTCTCCTCAAAGGACTGACCCTGCAAACGTTGTAATTACTTTCCAGAGCTTTCCTGTAGACGGACCAGAGCAAGATCCTGCCCCACATCTGCCACACTCCCTTCTCTGCAGACCCCCTCGCAAGAAGCACCACTAACAGAGACGGGAGCAAAGCACTGCAGGGACTGCACACGAGCACCACACAGACTCTGAGGCAGGTGCAGAACCACAGTCCCAAAGCCAGGGTTTTATAACCACCACAGCTGGGATGGCAGCACAGTCCAGGGACCAGGCACAGAGAAACCAAACCAAACCTCTGAGGGAGATTACCAGGCTGGAGTGCAGAGGGAACAGCAGGGTAAGAGAGCAACTCTGCTGTTTTAAGTGGCCTGGATTGTCCTGCTACTGCAGGAACGTCAGCCCCTCACTACAGATGCAACGGGGCCACGGAGCAGAGCACTGGATTCTCTTGCCACCCTGGATGCCAGGCAGCTCCCAAACTGCCACTGTGAGCGTCCCACAGACCTCACAAGCAGGGACGGTCACAAGACACCCCTGCTCCCAAACAGCTACGAGCTGACAGGCTGGATACTAACCGGGAGGCTCCATCCAGGATGTGGGAGGGCTGCAGCACACTGATCTGCTGGAGGAGCGCAGCTGGAGGGAGAAGGAACAGGAAAGGATCAGACCAGCAATTTCCCTCCCAGGGCACTCCAAGCACTCCACCACCACCCACGAGCCTTCCTCCCCCGACAATGGCTGGCAGCACCACAGTCACCACTGGCTACTTCAAAGGCCTCAACTTCCTCATCTCCTCCCAGCACACAGCCCAGAACACCCTGCAGTTGCTTTGCATCTTGCTGGCCCTGACTGCACATGCCTAACAGCCTAGCAGGAAACTCTGCAATACAGCAGGACATGGGGAATGGATTAGAGGACCTCCCGAGGCCCTGTTTATCCTGGCACTTGAGTGGGCTATAGAAAGATTCTCCTGCTCAAAGCACTGTCCCCTAAACTGATGTTCAGCTTCTCCACATCATCCCTTTTGCTGCAGCATACCAGGCACTGTTTCACAGAGCTGGGGGGGAGGAATGGTCCCTGCCAAGCTCCCACGGCCACTACCTGACGAGGTAGCTTCATCTGGACGCAGAAGTGGTGTGACAGCTTGGTCCCAGAGGTGTGACGGTCGTTTCCAAACCCTCTGCTGTCTCCTCTGCTCCAAAAGGGCTTTGTACTCCTGCCAGTTGGAGCAGCGCCTCACCTCCAGGTCGGCATTGACGCTGCTCTTGTACCTGCTCTCCCTCTCCCGCTGCCTCCTCTCCTTCCGCGTCAGCTTCTCCTGTTTCTGGTTGATGCGTGTGCACCAGGAAACTGCATCAACCTCCCTCCCTGGCACGTTCTCGGGCAGGAGCCTGTTGTCAGGGGAGGGCAGGTGCGTGCAGGGCTGGTCTGGGGCCATGTTTGGAAAGGTGATGGTGGTAAAATCCCAGCGGGGTGCACGGGTGCCAGTGCTGCTCTCCTTGCAGTCTTCAGCCTGGCTCCTGGAGGGACTCACAGACTCCTTTTGTCCTGTATCAAGAGGAACTGGGTTTGACTCCCACTCTGCACTGCCAGCATCTGACTCCTTTGGCTGCACTGACAAGGGCTTTTCATCCATGGGAAGGCAGACGGAGTCTCCACGGTCATCTCCATCTTTGCTGGAGGTCCCTTCAGCTCCTGGAAGGTCCTCAGATACCTTATGTTTCTTGTCATGTGACCTAAAGACAGAAACAGCAGCATAAAAGACAGGGAGACCATGTGGTGGAACTTGATTTCCTTTGAATCCTGCCTCCTCCCTGCTAACAGGAAAGATACAGCTTGCCAAGCCTGAAGGAAGGACAGCAAAGGTGGCAGGAACCCCCAGGCAGGTCTGCAAACCCTTGACAACAACCTCTTGGCTTGTGTGACAAATGAGAAGGGAAAAAAGCAGACCAAAACTGAGCAGTGAATGCCAAAGGCAGAATAAACTTCTCAGAAGTCCTGCATGAGGTTTGACGTCAACACCCAAGAGAATCCCAGCCTTGATTTGTATAGGAACATGTTCCCAACCTGCCATGCAGCCTCCACACCCCAGACACTGACCCAAACACCTCCATGCAGACATGATGGGCATCAGCCAAAGCAGCACAGACCAGGCAGAAACCTGCCTGCCAGCACCTCTTACTGGTAGGAGAGTCAGTCCCTGGTTCCAGAGAAGATGGGGCAACTCTTAGACCAGCAGTTTAATCTCCCAATCCCTACAATTTCACGACTCCTCAGGCACTGATTTACTGTTAACAGGGACTCTCAGCTCAGCCTCTCCTCCCCATTTCTGAAAGGATGACGCCACCTCCTGGGAGCTCCCAGAATTAGTCGCAAAATTACTAAATCTGCCAGTTTCTGTTGACACTTTGGAAACGTCTAGAGGCCACGGGCAAACTCCAGGATCCAACTGTGCTCTCTGCTGTAGAGTCCTGGCGTGTAAGTTGGACTGAGGAGGTGGGTAAGTGCAAGATGTGAATGTGGTATCTGTGCTCCCACTACAAAAGAGCAAGAGGAGACACCTGACCTGTGTTTCTTTTGCACTGATCTCTCTGCCCTTCTGTTTTGGCACCTCAGCACCACAGCTGTGGGGCTCAGGAGCAGTTTGCCCCTCTCAGCCCTGGATGAAGCACATGTGTGACAAAATGGAACACTGCAAAGTGCTCAGGAAAAGTGCTGCACTGCTTGGGGACAGCCAAGAGTAACTGTGCCAGGGTAAGATCACCCACGGCACAAGGGCCTGGGGAGACTGCAGCAAATCAGCTATTCCTGAGCCAGCATGGCCTGGGAGAGAATGGGAGAAGGCTTTGGGCCACATCCTTACCGGGGGCTGGAACTCCTCCTCCTTTTGCGATGGTGTTTCCCAGAGCTCTTGCAGTGACTTTCCAAGTTCAGTTGCCTCTCGTAGGGAGATGGGACAGTGCTGGAAGGACAGACCAACAGAGAGGCTGAGAGCAGGGTGACATAGTGGAATTAGCCTTCTGCTCAGTCCCCAGGATACAGAAACAAAAGGCACAGAAAATCCCCAAGCAGGATCAGGACGGTCCTCAGTTCATGCCCCATTTCATGTTCCCAATCACCTCCTCAAGAGGGAGGAGCAAGGAAGGGTAGAGTGCCACTTTTAGCCTTTAATCCTCCCAAGGGGTGGAATGCAGGGCCAAAGTCCTCTTCTCTGCTGTCCCCTGGGGCTAGGCAGTGGGCACAGGCCTTCAGAAAGGAGAAAGCAGCGGGGAAAGGAAAAGTTGGTTACCTGGGGTCGAATCTCAGTACAATATAACCCAGTTGCTTCAAGTGGCTGAACACCTTAGAGCAAAGGAAAGCAAGAGGGTTAAATGACAACCCTAAACCCAAACAATTTACTTCAGTTTTGCCACAACTGAGTGAACAGTGTGGCAGTGGCAGCAGAGAAAATGCCAGGATTAGGACCCAAAGCAAAGGTGGGGAAACAGGAAGAAGGTGAGTGGGAACAACTGTGAATGACTCCCCTCCCCTCCCTCATTGTCCTACTCTGCTTCCAGTCCCTGGAAGAGGTTGTGTGGCAGAGGCTGGGCTCTGCCTTCACCCTCCCTGCAACAGCTGGAGGTCCCAACACACCTGGTAATGTAACAGGCTCATTGTCTCCTGGCACAGCAGGGTCTCGTAGGCTTCCTGGATTGACATGGGCAGATCCCTGTAAAAGAGCTGGACAGAGCCCTGCAGGGCAAAGGCTTGGAGTGAGAATCCCAGGGAACAAATCTATGCAAGCTCACACCAGTCTCTTCCCACTGGTCCTGACAGCTGGTCCCTCACCCTCCCTGACATGATATCCATCTCTCCCCATGTGCCAGCCTGGATTACTTACAGTCCCTCTCCCATGCCCAGCTCCTCCATGCCCTGGGTTTATCAGCCAGGGAAGAAGTTCCCACCCCCAGCTCTCAGCTCCTGCTCCAGTGCTGCATCTGTTTGGAGGATGCAGCTGGGAGCAAAATGCAATCTCAGTGATTCAGGACACAGCACAATCACAAAAACATTTATGACCAGCACAGCTGAGAGAGCTGAAGCAGAGGAATTGGTGGCACCCTTAGATGCCATCGGTTGGTGCCTCCTTGGATGAGATCCCATAGGTAACTTCCCCAGGGAATAGGGGAAACAGGAAAACTGATCTCCAGGAGGCAGTTTTAGGTTATGCCTCTTTTTTCTCCCCTTTTTTTGGTTTTGTAAATTGTGTTACTCAAAGAAAACAAAACACTAGGAACCACACCTCTCCCATGGGATGGGCTGATGGCATCTGACTGGTCTTTTCTGCTTTTGGGGAGAGATTCTGTACTCAGCAGCTGACAAAACTATTTTATTGTCATCAATTTGTTTACAAACTCTTCATCAAAATACCAGAGGTAAAGAAGCCCAACCTTTGCTGTTAGGATGTAAGGGATAGCATCAGATGCCCATAACCTCTTTCAGTTTTGCTAGGGGATAAAAGTTCCCCTTTATATCAATGCACCTATTCTACTGATAAAAGGCTTTGCTGGAGAGACAAAAAACCACTCTCTACAGCAAAGAAGTCCAAGTGAACCCTAAGCAGTATTTCTGCAAGCAGGGGAGCACTGATCACAACGTGGTCTCACTCCTCTGTCTGCCAC